TTGTGTATTTTAAAAAATGTGCAATTTAGTTTTTTTCTTATAATGGTGGTTGCTGATCTCATAGGGATAAGAGAACTCTGTTAATCATGGCTTTGGAGCAACACATGGGTATGTTCTTTCTTGATTCATTAGTTCTTTCTTTCATTTATCTTGATGTCAGCTGATTTTATAATTTTTCATTACAATTAATTGTTATATTTTTTATTCCAAAGGTATCTTTTTTTTTATTCATTGCCGACAAACTAATGGCCTTTCTGGTTTCCAGGAGTTCCTTTAGAAAGTCTGTTACTCATTTTTCAATTATTGAATGGAAAATCTTAACAGAAGTTATAACTATGAATATGTATTACAGATTTAAAATTGATTTAATTAATGTAAAATTAAATTAATAAGTAACATTGGTTGATATTAAACGTTTAGTCTTTTTTGGATATTTTTTTTACATTCTATATTAATTTATAGTTTTTAATTAAGTTTGAAAGGGATTTCTTTAGATGATGGCAATTTCTTAATTCAAATGACAATTTAAACTTCTTTAATAGTTCCATTTTATTGAGAAATATAAAATCTCAAAAACTAAATGAAAACTTTACAGTCCAAATTCAACTTAGTAGGTATGTAGTTATTTTGAATATTCCTCATCCTCTAGCCTAGAAATCGCGAGACTAAAATTTGGGTTCGTTTTTTAATTTATTTTGAGAAATAATTAACGGCGATCTTTTTCAAGGAACTAAGGTTATTTATTTTTTATAATTAAATTATATTTCGTGGCAAGAATGTCCTATTTTATTCATATTATGTACTTTTATGAGTTGTTTCTGCATAATGACGAACGTATTTACCTATCATTGAGAACAATTTTATTTAACCACACAGACCAAGCACATTCCCTTTTATTTATTTTTTTCTAAATTTACAGTTTGTTTCTGTGTCTAAATATCTATACAAATTTAATCACTATATAGAATGGAAACTTGAATTAATACAGTACCGATTGAAACCATATGTGTTATGTATACGAAATTCATTTCGTTAATCTTTTAACAAGAGGAGCGGTAAAATTAAGGCTTGTCGTTTTGAATGTCATTTATGTTTTCACAAAATATTTACGAGCTTATTAAGTTTTCCCTTGTTTCTGCTCTTTTCAAAAAGTTTTCAGTTGCTTTGTCCTTTTGGTTGTTTTAAATATGTCACAAGTGTATTATTAATTTTTATTCTCATCTTTTGCTTCCATAAAATCACCTGGGATATTTTATTATTGTTGAAGTTAAAAACATAATTCGTGTTTGTATTTCTTGTCTGTAATATTTAATATTTTAGTTTAACCATAATACTTCTTCTAAATGGTTACCCTTTTCTTGTCATCCTCTTCAATTATATTTTTTAAATAACGTATTAAATTGTTTCGTAACTTTTAAGCTATGGTTGCATTCTCTGCAGTTACATGGTTTCCAATCCAATGCATCATGATGCAGGGGAGGAACAAGGAAAAGTTGTGTAGTTTCACTCTTGAGTATTCGTAGATCTTTTTTTATTTCCACATTTCCTCTTGTCATTGTTGATGCTGCTGAAAATGTATTCACGGTGAATAGATTTATAATTGAAATCTATAATGTTAAGGTCATAGAAAGAAAACTAATTTCGGAGATAGTATAGTTGTACTTTTTATTATTATATTATTTAAAACGAATTATCCATAGGTACAATTATCGCCATTATTTAATAAGTGCTTAAATGTATTTTAATAAAGCTCTTCATTGATCTCTTGATTATAATTTAACCTAATGGTGGTTGCAATTTGTTAGCGTCACGAGATGAGGAAGTTGCAAATAATTGTCACTGACCTCTTATACTATTTTTAAAAAAAATTTGTAGTTTATTTTCATGAAAATATATTGTCAAACTGTTTATGGAAAATATAAAGTTTTAGATTTTTTTTTTTTTTTACGAATGAGGACTATTTTTAATTATAGAAAATTTAAATTATTACATTAAAACTTTTTTTTTAATAGATCAATGAATTAGCTACATGGTACGTTCATATTTGCATAAAATTTCCTATATAAATATAATTAAGTGATTTACCAGCTCTGTTTAGGACGAGGAAGTCTGTTAAAATATGTCAGCACTCATTATACCAGAATCTTATTGTCACTGATTAGATCTAATAGCTGTATTAATGAATGCCCACCTCAAGATTGAACAATTCTGATCTACCAAAATTAAGAGTATCATTTCAATGTACTGAATGTAAATTCTGTTTTTCGTAATTTAAATTTAATAATATAATATCTTGCGTATTATAATAAAATTAAAGAAAACTATGAAAATACATTATCTAATAGAGTAAAAGCGGAAATAATCCGAATTGTATAAATTAGAATGCTGTTTTAATACTTATTAGATTCTTAAGTAAATTAATTAGAACAGGAATCCGATTCACTTATTAGCTAAAAGACAGCTAATGAGTCAACATGGCTTTATGTTAAATCTAGGTGAAAATCACTTCTTTTTAGCAATGCAATACAATTAAACACCTAGGTCTTCGATAATGTTAATATTAAATATGCAACAGTTTTGTTTCGTTTCCCCCAAAAGTTATTAATAATAACATGCTTAAGGTTAGGCTGATGTTAAAGTCTCCTAGTTATTGAAATATGTATTTTATTTATAATTGTGTGCTATATTATTCTGTAGAGTTTTTCATTTTACTGATATCTTCAATACATTTGTTGCTAAAAGGTTTATAATATTGATTACTAGTGCTGATCTCCTCACTAATGGTATTATTTTCTTATTAGGTTGCCGTGCAAACTTAGTGGTCATCGCTTCCAAGGTTAATGTTACTAATAGTTTAATAGTTTACTTATTAGTGATCTCTCCACACATTTCCTTCAGTTAAAGTTTAAGAATTATTTTAAATGTTTACTGAGTACAAGTTTCTACACCTGGAATTCACAATGTTGTTACCGTTAGTTTCTGACCATTTTGCAGAATTTTAGTTTTACTTTACCATGAAGTTTCTAGAAGTTTGCAGGGTTGACATTCATTGTTGTCCAGGTATATTTTTTTTGTGTGGGCCTCCATTTTCTGTCAACCCCTCTTTCCTGCAGGTATAAAGGGAAAATCCCCAACGAGTACTTTCAAATACTCTTCTACATTCTTAACAACCGGTTGCAATTAACCATGGGGAAAATCCCAGAATTGAAGTTGCCAGTTTTGTTCCTTGTCTTTGGAAGCTGGAGTTCTCTTTCTTCTTGTTTCAAAATATGTTGTTTTGTTTCTGGTAATGTCAGGTTAGCGTTTATTAACTTTTTCAGTTCAATCATCGGGGTGGAAGAGATGCTTAAAATAAAAAATTTCTTTAAACAATTTTTTGTTATTTTATGTAAATATATATTTCATTCTTTTCAAGTTGAGTAGTTACTACAAATTATAACTTTATGGCTATTTCATTGTTTATATATATATATATATATATATATATATATATATATATTAGGAATGAAATAGCCATAAAGTTATAATTTGTAGTAATTACTTAAAAAGAATGAAATATTGAATCACTTGATCGTGAATTACTGTATTTAGGTTACTGTTGTCCCATTGTTTCACTAATTGACACCTGTTGCACTATATTAAACAAATTATTGGCATGACAAAAAATAATTTGGTTTTTAATTGTATACAATTTTCTATGGTATGCCATTTTCAGCTGGATATTAAATAATACAATTATTGAAGTAAACAATGTATACAATGCAATCCTAAATTAAAATAAAATTGATTCAATCGATTAGAAACGATAGGTTTTTACATGAAATACTTAATAAGATTGAATTGATGAATGCTCAGTTAGATCACAAAAACTGTCATGTCTGGTGCATTGAATTAAGCTTCATCAGTCTTCAGTTCCTTCACGATATAAAAAAATATGTTCGCGCTTAAAATACAAATAAATACATTATCTATTAAAAGGGTTATTGTTTTTTTTGTATTATAGTAATAAATTGATTCCTTTTAAGTAACAAATCTAGAGAAAAAAACATAAGACAGAGAGTTACGAGATTGGTATAATTTCGGCATCCAAAATTAGTCCTTAATCGTCTTGGCTTGTTTAACATACCACAATACAACACATATTTGATTAAAGGCGTTTAATGATTTGAAGAATAAAAATGACGAAATTACAAGTTTGCATAGTGTTGGTGTGGTCAACTCGTTTCCTTGTGCAGTATTGCTCAAGTTGTATTATGAAATCTGCATGCAATATAAAATTAACTCTGAAAAATAGCTGATAATATGTTGTTTGGAGTAAAACAAATAGTTATCACTGAAATATAAATAACTAAGTAGTGCGGGACACAGGCGGATCTATGGGGGGAGAGAAGGCTTCAGCCCTCCTCAAAGCCTCCCACCAAATGGTAAATTATAACTGTGTTTAATAGAAAAAAATATTAAAAACTATCTCTTAAACTATTATTGTTCGTGTAATTACATTTAATGGGACTTCAAGAATAACTTAAACACCATTTCATATAGTTAGTTAATTTCTTTTTCTTTTTTTTTTTTTTTCAAATTAATCATCTTATGTATATGGGGAAAAAATCTTTCGGGGTGAACCCCCCCCCCAAAATGAAATCCTGGATCCGCTAGTGGTGGTAGACATTTTCGCAGACTGTAAAGAATTGCTATTGCCCAACTTGTAAACAATAACACTGATTAAATCCGAAACAGCTGATAAAGGAGGACGGAGCAGTTTATCTTTCAATGGATTTTATATAAATAAAAAAATTAACTCTTTTATCGATTGATAGAAGAACTAGCCCTGAAGGCAAGTTTAGAAAATATTTATCAGAAGGTTGTCTCATCTGTGGGATCCCTAAGGTTGTAAAATTTGGTTTCGTTGGTATTGTTCAAAAAGCTCCTTTTCTTGTGGTCCCTTAATCGACTGTTTTAAGCATATGCGATCGCATGATCAATAGAAAACAATATATTATTTAAACATGGGATAGCCTAAGAGTGTTATTATGGAAGGAAGGCATTGTGCATGCTAACTGCCGGCGGAGCTGCCACTGCCCTTGGGAGCCGGAGGTGCACGTGTAGCCAAGGGCGGTGGTGCAGTCTTGTACTCTGCCGTACCTCTCATCTTGAACCAGTCGTCTTGCAGCTTCTACCGCCGTACCTTTGATCTTGAATATATTGTCGATCTGATCTCAATCAATCATTAAAATTTTTCATCCTTGTTTAACGGAACATGAAAATTAGTTGTTATTCAATAAGTTAACCCATAATTTTGTTTCGTTGATGGTGCCTGTTCAGCTTACTTTACTAATTATTTTTATTTAATGCAAAAAAATAAGGATGATGGGTTAATTTAATTATTGAACACTCATTTCTTGGCAAGAATGGTCTCATTTAAAAGATTAGATGTTGGACTTTGCCGATAGGTAACTCAAGGCTCCTAATTCTTTGCTATTCTCGTAACATCCGTTTCCGTCCCACTTCTCTAAATATTTCAGATATACATTTTATTGATAGAATGTGTTGAGTACTGGTGATTCTCTTAACTGTTTCTGCACAGACTTTAAGGAAATCTGCAAAACTATCACAATGTATTCAGGTGTTTTTTTCCTCACTGTTGCGTCATGGCATAGTTATTACGCAATGTAGCTGTTATTTAACGTTTTATGGCATTAGGGGATTTACACTGTGATAGCTTTGCTTTGATCTCTTGCAAATGATCACAAATATTTATGTTTGAGATAGGGAATATCAGTTATGAGAAATATTTGCTAAATGTATCAATTTAAATTATTTTTCAATATGATGTTAGTAATTTTAGAAATTATATTACTATACAAAAACCAGGAAACCATAATTTATCTTTGAATTTTGGACCTTTTATTTTATTAATTTAAATTGATTGAAAAATTACTTAATTAACAATTCTTTGTAGAATAGGATCTTCTATTAATTGTGATATCTATATTATCGGTTTTATTTATCTATAGAAATATCTTTCTTAGTAAATTCTAATTAATCGTTTCTTGTGTTGAAATAGTATAATATTTAAAGCTTTGGATCGCCTCTTGAGATGTTCATATTAATCATCATCATACCTAAAGGTAAAGTGTATCAGGTCAGGAGATAGGAGTTATCGGAAAAGCTATTTAGTTTTGTTTTTGTATTCATTGTGATTTCAGTTTCCACTCGATGTATGCGATATGTTTAGTCCAATATAAATGAAATTTGTATTGTTTTCCTCTCTGACTGTATACATATAATATTGAATGTTATCGAACGCCTGATTCTTAGGGTAGAAGATAAGATTATTTCCACTCCAGGCTTTATTACCTTGACAATATCCAGCTGTCCAAATTGTTTACTTGGTGATACATGACGACCCACTACAAAATAAATTAAGCGACTTATTGGTTTTTATCGATAGGATTGTTAAGTTTAGCCCTGTCTATTACGATGAGGAAACGCGATAAATTTTATCTCTACTTTCTCAGTTTACGTCTTATCTAATCATGTAACTGACTGCTCGAGATACGGGTTGCTTGTTATGCTTTATTGGTCAGAGATAGTGTTAACTTTTTTTTTGTTGTCTAGAATTTATTTAAAGTTTATTAATATGTTTGAATATTAAAGATAATTTTAAAGATCAGTTTTAGGTTTTCTGTTTTGTTTTGCTTTATTTATGCTATATTTAATGCTAATTGTAATTACTTGTAAAGAGTATGATCTGCAAAAAAGTTAAAATTACGTACAAATTCTAATGCCGAGTGTTTTAACAAAAAATAAATAAAGATGGTATTCTGCACCAATTATTCAGTTGCTATATATAATATATTTTATAAACAATTATATTCAACGAACTGTTATTTTTCAGTGTATGTATATATATGTACACGCATATTTTTGTAGATCTGGGACTGTTACTTTGTCGTATTAACGGAGGAATAATAATTTAGTAAGAGTAACGTCGTATGACACTCGGAAGAGGTGTCTATATTTACCCGTCATGTACCTATTTTGGGCGATAACTGGATAACTACCTACATTCATTGTCTAATTACAGTTGTGTATTTTATTTCTTTTTATAGATGTTTCCTGTCTAAATCATGTTCGTATATAATGCTATCAGAAACCGACAATATCTTGAGCTGAATAATGTTTTTAAGAAATTAGATGTTGAAAAATATTTGGCAGATATATGAAGTGGCCAATGCCCTAAGCTAGGTCAAAACCTCCTCGCCCCGTTGTGAAAACATTTATTGCTTGTGTATCAACTCGAATGAAAACATAGTTTAAGGCCTTGGCTAGCCCTACTGTCGGCAGGAAATACTGGTTAGCCGGAGCTGTCTGTCTCGCTCTACCTGAATATCTTCGCTTTTAGATGCAGGGAATTTTCCTTATCTTTCCATTTTTTTTTTTTAAATTAGACATTGCTTAAAGCTGTAATATAGAACCCTTTCCCGACTCTAACGAGCGATGGGTTTTGATGAGTGAGCTATCAAATAAAAGGGAAGCTGATGGAGAATTAACGAATCCTAATTCCTATTCTTATTAATTCCTTAAAAAAACTTAAACAAAATTCATTGAAAAGATTTGGTGGTTTGGAAGTCGACGAACCGAGACGGGATAATTGTGTTCTGAAGATTTCGACAAGGTCGTCTGGCAGTTCCAGAACTATCGTACCCTCCGTTTAACATTTCAAAAATGCCCCTTTTTTGTGATGAATGAAAATTCTGGTCGAATTCCTCTTGGGATAATTATGACGGTACTAGCTGTTAAAAATTAATATATAACTTATTATGTTAGTCGATGGACAACAAAGATATTCATTTAATGTTTGTTTTATTATTTACACAAAAAAAAATCAGCAGTTAAGCTTAATAATTGCAATTAAAGTTAATGGTAAACTATTTGAGAAAAATAGGAAAGTGTAGTTACATGAAGGAATAGTACGAGCATGCCAAGTTGTATCAAATTCCGAGAGAAGCGTAATAAATGTTTTTGACCTTAAAAATGACGAAGAGGTAAATGGAAAATACGCAAGTATTAATTGTGTAAATACATTATGTACCTCGCTTTGACGTCTATACTTGGTTCTAATATTGACAATGGATCCCCGTTGCAAATATCTTATGTACTATTTTCTTCTATTGCCCTATATGGAATGTTATTACGTTAATTTTTTTTATTGTATCAAGTTATATTCAAATTTTGTATTTAATGTTTATTTTAATTTGAATAAATTCGTTTACATTGACCTTATCTTTTATTCCAACAACAACCGTATAGGTTATTTGTATACTTTCCAGTTTCTCTCTATTGACAAATATAAGCGTAATTATCTGATATGTTTTGTACTGAATTCGAGATATCACGAAATTTGTATATATCTCGATTCAAATGCTGTGGTAATGGATTTAGGTTTTTTTTTTTTTTTTTTTGTGTTCTCTTGCCGAAATCATATTGCCACTGGATCGAAACTGTCCGGCTTGTTCATCTTTTCGGAAAAAAATATTAATATTAAATGACAAACCATGTTCAAATGCAGTCCGAAGTTAAATACTTGAAACAAGTACAATAGATTCTATAATTTATAATTGGTTTCGAAATATTTATATTTAGGTGACAGAAATCTTTATATTTTGGACATTTAGACTCGTAATATTTAACGACTTGAAGCTGATGAGACAAATCGATAAATAAAATTGCTGTTGTTGTGAGTTTGTGTCCATAAACCCTACCAACTTCACATAAAGTAGACTTGTTTTTTTTTTTCTTCGTACTAAAGATTGTATCGAAGGTGAAGTAATGAAATATTTCAGAAATGCATATAAAATTTATAATTCTTCTGTTGACTTCTTTTATCTATCAGCTGTTATTACTTAGTCGCTTGATACATTAAATATTTAATAAAAACTAACGCCATTCAGTACTTTAAAAGTACTGACTACTCTTACACGAGTAATCGCATTCGATTTAGAAACAGACCATTTTTATTTAATTATTCCTATCATTAATATAAACTTGTGACTTTAATTTTATAAATTATTTAATTATTTATTTATTCGTTTCGGACCCATTTCCTCCCTTCTTCCGGGCGGCAAATATCCTCTTTTCGGTAATACTTGTTTTTCGTGATGCAATTATCAAAATGTATGTACATTGTTTATTTATTTAATCAATAAAATATTATCAAGATAGCCTATTTACCACTTACTGGCGAAGGTTCAAAATTTATTATGAATGTTAGCATTAGCAATATCTTAATAGGTATGCCCTACTGGAAAATATTGCTCCAATAGTTAATAGTTAAGCAATAATAAACAGTTATTGTTACAGTTCTACTAATCTATCATTATAATTGTTCAAGACTTATGTATTTGGTTAGGTAGAGCTTTAGTTTGTTGTTCTCTCACTCAGATCATAGAAGTTTCTTACTGAGACTATTGAAGCCATACCTTAATATTTTTTTTTTTAATTATTAAAAATACCACTAAGTTCCTTTCTATATCAGCCAAAGTGCAGGAAAGATCACATAGCTATTCTCCTCCATTTTCTTTTTCAATAGGTTATTAGTTCGTCGTAGAATATCATAAACCGCAATATTTTAATTTTTAAATCCTAAACATGTGAGAAATAAACGATAGTGGCCATATAGTATCTAAGAGGCTTTTGGCAAGAATTACAGTTGCTACTTTGAATCCTTATGATTTTTAAATCCTCTCCTTTTTTTAAGTAATCTTTATTGTAGTTGCAATAAGGATTCGAGTTTTTAATTCGGCATTCGTCACTTCTTCATGAAACCCTCTTGCTTGATACGTTATTCATCAAAATCTATCGTTGCTAGAGCCAGGCAAAGGATCCGCACTACAGTATCTCATATGTAGCAGGAAGTGTTTAAAACATTTATCTGTGCAAGAGCTAAAATAATAAAAACAAAACCCTGAAACAAATCCTTTTGGACTTGCGTGGTTTCAACATTTGGCCTGTGGAAATGTCTTCTTGAATGGTACAATTGGGTTTAAATTGATGATCGATAAGATGGGGGGGAGGGGGCGCCATAAAGCGCGGGCTGGAAGAGAGCTAGCGGTCGGTGCTAGCGGCCTACCCCAAGTGACGCGAGCTAACGGTACCTCATCCACGGATTCCGGGCATACCTCCGGAGTCACCTGTCTTGAAGGAGGGTGTACTCTATACCTCACCTTGCATAAATTATTGGGGGCCATTGAGGATTCGAGCATCTTTAAATGTCTTCATTGGAATCGGTACATGTGTTCTGTATCGCAACCATCACCAAGGAATGGCTAATCACTTAATACTTATCTAAAGATATTAATGGGTTGTTATTTCATTACGTAGCACCTTGTCGCAATCGATTACAGAATATTTTTTAAAGTTAAAAAAGAAGTAGCTCAGCTACGTTCTATGTTATAAACGTGGCTAATAATAAATTATTCAAATCCAGGATTAATAAATTGAAGATCTTTTATTGAGGAGTAGGAAGGGGAAGGGGGGGGGGGTAATTCTGGCGTGGCGCTGGTAGTTAAGCGAGTTCAAATCATTTTTCACAATCGTCCGTTGGCCCAGAAACAGTACTTCCTTACGGAGTAGTTGCCCCAATAAGACGACCATCTTTTATACGTTGAAGTATATGCCGATGTGGAATATTGTTAATATGATGTATTCGAGTTATTTTAGTTCCTTGATGCATACACTTACAAATATTTAATATTTTTCTTTATTTTTAGTGCTTTTCAATAGCTACGTTCGAGAAGTCTATTAAGTCGATATATGAGAGTTTCTAATATTTTTTGTAATTGATGAAATGTTTGGGTGGAAGTTATTCAATATAGGAACGGGTTGTTGGCAACGGCGATGTGGGTTAGGGGGGGAGAAAGCAGCTTTCCCTTGACGTCCTTGTCCGGGTCAGACCAAGGACGCCTGGGGTGGGGATATCTGATCTATCCCCTCTTCTTGCAACCCTTCTGCTAGGTGTACGCCGTCCCATTGCTCCTCGATGAGCGGCTTACGACTTCCTACTCCTTTATTGGAGGGTTGGAAATAGCTGCTAACCCCTTAACCTTTAACGAGCACTAGCCCTCTCACGGTACATGATTTTACTTTTCTTGATACCATGGTCATTGTCTTGATTTCATCCCTCCCCATAATTGTAACATTAATTGCTATATTTTAATTATCAGCTATGTAATAGAAAAACATAAAATTCGATGGCAAAACAATTGGCTATAGTTTTAAACTTTGAGGTATTCATAATATAGTGGTAAAAAATCCTTTAAAAAAAAACAACACAAGAATTCGCTAATTTATCTATACACTAAACAATAATTAACAATCGAGACTTTGTAAAAAGATAATTAAAACAAATTAATGGCATTTTTCTTCGTTTTACTAGATTTAATCGATGCCCAACAAATATATCGAATGTAAAAAAAAATGTTTTTTTTGTTATCAATTTAATTGTTTTGGTCTTCCACGTGCTTACCATTCATTGCTTTGAAGAGGCTTCCTGATGGAATTCTTCCAGTTACATATCCCATCCATCTTAAACCTACTCTCCATCATATTACCAGCTATTCATTGAACAGATTCTATAACCAATTATTTCTTAATCATTTTCCTTCATACGTTATTACTCTGATCACAGATTGCTACAGTTATCGTACGGAGGATTTTCCTCTCAAATCCGTATGTTAGAACTGGCTTTTTCGTAGCATTGCACACCCCTAAATTCTTACCATCAGTCTCGTTCATTGACGTTTCTGCTGAACTTAGGTGTTTGAATTTGCCTCCTCTCAGGAATGATTTCCTTTCTACGCAAGCACCTTCTTCTGTTTTAAGTTAGGAAGGAACAGCGAGAATCGATTTCCAAGCCGCAAGATATTTCAAACTTATAAAGCCTCAGATACTTGGTAAGTTTGGTTATATATATATATCCAATATATATATATATATAAAATAAAGATTGTATTTAAAATAGAATAGTATTAATTTACAATCCATAACATTGTTTTAAAATGACTAATGAATTAAGCAAATTTAATTTTAACTCAATTAACATTTCGCATAATTAGATAATACAACCAGTGAGTGGTAGTTTTATGCTGTGAAGGTTTTGCCTGCTCAAAGCGCCCCTCAGCGAAGTCGATTTAAATAAATATTGAAGTAGGTTAATAATTATGTGGTTTTTTTGGTTTATTGTTTTCAAATATATAATAATGATTATTAGCTCCAATAATCTTTTCAGAAGATGACATAATTCTACACCACTTCTCCTGGAAAGTTAAAATAGCGCAGGATATAATTTATTTATTTTTGTATTTCCATAAGTCATATATAATTAATGTAATATTATTTGGACCATACTTTAGTTTGTTTTGACATAGTTTTTATTATTCATTCATCGTGGTATTTAATCTATTATTTATATATAGGAAGATAAAGTACCCTATAATCTGAGACATTTAGAACACTGTGAAAATCCTTATAAAGTGATCATAACCACATGCCTGATGAGAAAAATGCATGTCTGCCAGCATATGGCCGCAGCAATACAAAATGGCGGCGTAGTGAAGATGGAATAGACCCTACATAGGTTGTAAGCGTGTGTGTGTGTGTGTGTGTGTGTGTGTGTGTGTGTGTGTGTGTGTGTGTGTGTGTGTGTGTGTGTGTGTGTGTGTGTGTGTGTGTGTGTGTGTGTGTGTGTGTGTGTGTGTGTGTGTGTGTGTGTGTGTGTGTGTGTGTGTGTGTGTGTGTGTGTGTATATATATATATCCAGGTCTTCCCTGGATTCCCATTATTTTCCTGTGGGACTATTCATCCAAACATTTCTATCTATTGAACTTAAGAAGTTTGGTACTATAGTTGAGAGGTTCAACGGTGTTGTGTGTGAGGGTATATATATATATATGTATATATATATATACATATATATATATATATATATATATATATATATATATATATATATATATATATATATACATATATATATATATATATATATATATATATATATATATATACATATATATATATATATATATATATATATATATATATATATATATATATATATATATATATATATAGAGAGAGAGAGAGAGAGAGAGAGAGAAAGAGAGAGAGAGAGAGAGAGAGAGAGAGAGAGAGAGAGAGAGAGAGAGAGAGAGAGAGAGAGAGAGAGAGAGAGAGAGAGAGAGAGAGAGAGAGAGAGAGAGAGAGAGAGAGAGCTTATAGATATATAAAACTACCAACTCTTTCAATTTATAGTCTTAAGGCATGAAATTTGTTTTTGTCTGGCATTTTTATCATTATTTGACTAGCTTGCTCTTTATATTTTCATTTTACGAAAAAATCAAAAAGAGAAAGTTGTTTAATTTTAAATTTTCTTTAAGAATATTTATCACTTTACCATCTTATCTTTAACCATTCAAAGGCTAGAGCAACTATAAATTAATGATTAATCTCGGAAACTATAAAGAAAAACTTAATCTCCGTAATTTTCAATATTACACAGCTCTTCATCTGTATATAAGACTACGTATATGTGTAAACATTGGCTTTCATAATATACATACTCTTATATACAGTGTCTTATTACAGAGCTGTGTGATAACGGAAATTGCGAAAAATAAGTTATTCATCATAGTTTTGGAATTTAATTGTTAAATTATAATTGTTCTAACCTTTGAATGGTTGAAGGTAAAATAGTTAAGTAGAATATATTCTTTAAGAAAATTTAATAGTAAACAACTTTCTTCCTCATATTTTTTTCGTAAAATAAAAATATTAAGAATTGGCGAGTCAAATAATGATTAAAAAAAAATGTTATGTGGTTACTGACAATTATTTTATGTCTTATGACTGTAAATACTATAGATTGAAACGGTTGGTAGTTTTATGTATCTATAAGCTCTCTCTCTATATATACGCTTACAACCGATGCAGGGTCTCTTCTATCTTTACTTGGCCGCCATTTTGTAATCCAGTGGCTATATGCTGGCGGACTTGTATTTTTCTCATCAGGTCAATTTGTAAGGACAAACCTTAGTATTTAAATGTGACAACGGCTCATAGTATAGTATGACCAGGCTTGAAATGTATTATCCTTGTTATTGGAGGATATAACTAAATTGGTGCAAGCTAACTTGGTGGTGATTGTATGGATCCAGTTTTAATTGAAGGCGATAAAGCCGTGAAGTATATGTAAAAAAAGATGAGAGTAGTGAAATCGATGGGAGAGGGTTGGCGCCGGGTCAGTCGGCCCCGTCCTACGGCTAGGCACGGGTCTCACCGTCGGTTCTTGGCTCTATACCTATACTATAGGTCTGTTCATCATTACTATATCATATCTCTCTCTTTATTACTATAGTAAACTACTATTACTATTTAATCCCTCAACACCGTGCCCGATTATATACTAGTATTAATCATAAATGATTTTTAAAAAATAGAATCGTTTTGTTTTTTCAAAATAATTTAATGTTGTTTAGTTTAGTTAATTTAGTAGAGAATACATATTTTTATACTTTAAGAGGTTTTAATTTCATGTTGGCACTGTTCGGTTATTTTTTCAGGAAATCTCAGTCCTTTTTTTAGAGATTTGTCACGTTTTGAATAACAATTTAGTAAGGAATTTCAATTTTTGTATTCGTCTACTGCAGAAAATATAAATTTCTCTCCGATATTAAGATGTATCAAGAGTGAAGAGAAAACGGCTTCCGTTTTTCACATTGCTACTTTTTTTTTATGATTCTTTCTCAATTTTCGTGTTAAATTTAATTTAATTCAAGTTGAATTTTTTATTCCTAAAATATAAATGATTGCCGTATTAGTTATATGAAGAGCCAATGATCTTTTTTTTTTTTTAATTTGACGGGTTAAAGACTTATGTCTCAGTATAAAAGATATAAACCTTGTTCATTACTCAAATGTCCTATATATTTTGATATAGTGTTACAGTTTATTTCAGCTGTACTAGTCTTGAAGATGGTCCATGAAGTTGGCCGGAACGTTGAATATCTGGCGGAATGAAAAAACAACTGTTCCATTATATCTTAATCCTTGCCTCTATATCATACACCCTATTTGGAATTGCCTTCACATCAGTTATTCCACATCGTTTAGCTACTAAACCTTTTAAAGTATTCAAAATCTTAATAATATAATTTTTGTTTCCAAATCGCTGTTAAATGGTTATGGTTTT